CCCAGACAGGCCTCATATGCAGATTCGAGCTCTCTTGAACTGGCCATATCAGCATTTTGGCGGGACCCGAACCCGAGTTTTGGTAGTGCAACGTATTGGCCACTACGCCACACGGCGCTGCCCACTGCTGCACTGGCAAAGACCGGGTTCGAGTCCCAATAGGGCTGCTGCTAAGACCAGTTCAGAAGATGTCGAAACTGCCTTTCGAGGAGTATGGCAATCTGAAATTGAATGGATTGTGGGACACTTCAACTAACAGCCCTTCACCACCTTAAATAAAATTGAGAGAAAACATCTCTTAGCTCCGATCTACTTGTAGTCTCCTACTTATAAACCGAAACGAAAGAAAGGATGATTATCTTTTTAAATAGTATGACTCGTTTGTGCGGTGAGTAAAAGAGAAAATAAAATTCAAATAAATTAAGTGAATGATTTAATAATGAATGGGGGCGTGAATGAATGAATCAATTAACGAATAAATAAGCGAGCAAATAAATAAATAGATAAACCTATAAATAAATGGATAAATGGACGATTGGATAAATGTATGAATTGGTATAGTCAACCCAGCGAGATAAGTAAACGCCAAAATAAGGCGACGAGAGAGAGAGAGAGAGCTACTGTAAACTTGGACAAATCCTCAAGTCCTACCTTCCCTCGCCCTTTCGAGACTGTCTATTCCGCTTAGCAACTTGACCGCCTCACTCTCCTCGTCTCCCGACCTGGCGTGGATCCGCCTCAGTTCCCTACGCGCCAGACCTGCGACCTCGTGGTACCTGCACCAGGGCGCTCTGCTCGCCAGTCCCGGCATCGAGTCGCGCTTCCGACCGTCTTCAGCGTCTCCGGTCGCCATGGCAGCCAGACCCGAACAATCTCGCAGGCCTCTGTGGGCCGCCTCACTGTGCAACACGTTGCGCAGCGCCAGATGACCGTCGGTTACCACGACGACGGCTGCAGAGGCGTCAGTCTCCGAGAGGGCAGAAGCGTCCCGGGGGTCGGCAAACACGCCGTGGCTGGCGAGGAAGTGGTGAATCTGAAAGAGCAATTGTGAGAGTGTGTAGGACACATGCAAACTTTATCTGTTCACCCTCTTGAATGGAAAAGCTGGTCTGGCCGACCTAGTCGCCCTGGGCTGTCTCGAAGGCGGTATGAATCTAAAGCGCATGGCAACTGAAGCTGTAGTCATGAGGTTTGTTGCTGGCAGGATGAGTCGAGAGGAGGTATGATGAGGGTGAACGCGAACGAATGAGACAAAAGATAAATAGGGAAAGAAATGCCCCTTTAATGATCGTCTGTAACA